TGAGGCATGTTGTGGCAAAATGGCTAAGTTGTAGCAAAAATTGAAATTTAAGTTATTGGTATTTTCAGATACCTGAGTATGTGATCTTTAATACGAGGGGTTATTCATTGAAATTGGACATTTCAAGCCTCGGTTATTAGAAAGTGAAAGTACCAGACTTATTGTCAAGATAAACATGATTTTGAGTAAAGTTATTTGTGCATACATTGTTTAATAGAATGAACTATCAAAATAACGTTAAATAAACAATTTGTTGACCACTTCCAGAACTAATACTTTGGGACATGATTAATAAGACATCAAACTGTTGATCTAGAGTAAAAAACAAATTTGGATTTTTAGGCAATTTTTTGAGCTCCCATATTTTATAGCTCATTCACTCAATACTGGTCTGTGCGACAACTTAACCATTTTGCCACGACATGCCTCAAATAGGTCTGATTTGAGCATAATTTCACTGTATAGCGGCACAAATACGCGCAAAGATACCCATGTTTGATGCGCACGTACGGTATTGCTATTGGTCAAAAGATGACCGAAAAGAATGGAAATTTGTGAAAACAATGTCAGGAACCCAAAATATGTAAAATAACGTAATTTCTAGCTTTCATACGTGCTGCGCACGTACAAATGCTCACGCGTAGTGGAAAATTTCAAAAAAATTTGAAATGCTCAAAATGGCCTAAAACGTGCTCTAATTTAATCAAAAAGTGATTTTGAGCATTTTGAAATTTTGACGCACGCTTATGCGCGTAGTGAAGCGCACGCGTCAAATTAGGGTACAGTACATTCAACATTAACCCGAAGTTAATGCTCACTTAATACGATTTCGAAATGGCAATTGGTTAGGCTGATATTATCGATAATGTAAAAACGCAAAATTGCGCGTAGATGACGTCACGCATGACTGAGCGCGTTGAAAAGCTTACCATGACTATTCCAGACCAAGCCAAATGTTCGCTGACAGCGATTGTGCGTAACTTTGGTGCAGTTTTTGAGATATCGTGCGAACAGAAAAGGAGAGAAAGAAAGAAGAATAAGAAAAAAAAGATCCTGACAATAACAAGAGGTGATCCGCTAGTGTAGCGGATCACCAAAAAAAAATCTTGTCTTACTAAAACAAACTTTTTGAGTGAACATTAACTGTTTTAATGTCTTCTTCTTAAGCATGAAATTTTTATCATTTTTGTACCAGAAAAGAACAAAAAACAAAAACAAGTGCACTCTTTTATGCTTTAATTTCAGCCCTCAAACTGAAACACAAGAAGAGCAGTGGTCGAAATTAAACCAGCTCCCAAATGTTAATAATGGATCTCCACACGTCAGGGCACACACACAGTGGCTATCACCAGCTTAACTGACTGTTAAAGATATAGTCATGAAGTAAAAAGAAGCTTACGTTTGGCATGAGTTGCTAAGGTAATCTCATTCGCAGGCAAATTAACATACAGATCATATAATTCCGTATGACTTTCAACGTCAGCATCTGTGAAACCCATTAAAAGTATGCTGTTTCCATTTAGGCTTTCCAACTCTTGTGCTTTCAAATGTACATATGGGGACATGATTGACCAATTCTGCCTATGCCAAACCAAGGCAGGAAGTGATCTACAAACAATGAAAAATAATTACTCCTGTTTATATTATAAATTAATAAATAATCCTGCAAGCATTTTAATGCAAGACATAAACACACACACACTTTAACATAAGACATTATTACTGCATACATTCTAAAATAGTATTTTTGTAAATACATAAAAGTATAGGCCTATACTTATTCCTGTATTCTTAAAAACATTCTTTAAATAAAACTTATTTCTGAATGATGATATCTGAAGTAGTAATGTGTAATGTTTTATGGCTCTTTATGTCACAACACGACGGACTGACAGGAGACGATTGCCATTTTCTCAGTTCAGTATTTATTGTAAAACATAGGTGGCAGCAAACATTGTTTATTGGGGATGAATACATTACAACTCTCCCCTGTGTAATC